TACACAGATACGCGCACACACAGCACACCTACACACACATAACTGGGGCGTTGGGGGTTGGGGGATGTGGGGGCGGATGGGAGGTGCTTCAGGGGATGGGGGGATTTTTTTTGCCTAGGGATTTTTGGTGGTTGCCCGCGCATCAATTCCGTTTTTTCAAAAAGTGCGGGAGCGGCCCATTTTCGCGTTTAACGCGAATTCAACGGGATTTTTTGGAGTTTAACGGGATTCAACGGGAGTTTAATTCCCCCATTCTGCATTTAAAAGATACACAGGGAAGGCGTGCTCGGAGGGGAGTCAGGGTCAAGAGAGGGGGTTAAAGAATAGGGAAGGGGAGAAGGGGTGGCGGCCTCCTCATGGGAGATCGCCATCTCCGATTGCTGCAGTACCCTTGCGGAGGACATTCACTTCCCCGTAGCCGGGTTCCGTCGAAGGCAAAATCGGCTTCCACGGGATGAGCTTCTCGTTCACGGGACTCTTGCTCGGCGGCTGGAGGCGCGTCAGACCATCGGCGTTCCCGTGCTGCCTGGTGACGCGGTGGCGGATGTCGAAGTCATAGTCCTGCAATCTCACCGCCCACCTTCCCAAGGTACCCGTGTAGTCCGTGTTGTTCCGCAACGATAGCAATGGCTGGTGATCCGTCACGAGCACGAACTTCTGGCCGTACAGATACGGTCGAAAGTGTTGAACCCCCCACACCACCGCCAAACACTCACCCTTGCACGCCTCGCAGTTCGACTGCGCCTGACTTAGCGTTTTCGACGCATACTCGATGACGTGCTCCCTTCCATCCGTTCCTTGCTGAGTCAGCACCGCCGATATGGCCTGCGGCTGCCAGTCGGTATGCAGCACAAACTTTCTTGCCGGATCGGGACGCGCCAACACGGGTGCCGATGTCAGAGCCTCCTTGAGTGCCCGAAAGACCGCCTCGTATTCCGGTGTCCAGATCAGCTGCTCCTCCTTCTTCAGCAGGTTCGTCAGTGGTTTGGCGAGGCAGGCAAAGCTCCGAATGAAGCGTCGATAATAAGAGGCCAGCCCTAGGAAGGCTCGAACCTGAGTGAGCGTGACCGGGGCCGGGGCTTCTCGAACCGCTGCTACCTTCCTGGATCAGGTTTCAGTCCCTCGACTGTGACGATGTAGCCCAAAAAGAAAATTTCCGACAGAAAGAACTCGCTTTTCTCCAGAGCCACTTTGAACCCCGCATCTTTTAACGCATGCAACACCCATTCAACATGTTCCACATGGTACTCGTAGGTTTTGGAAAAGACCAAAATATCATCCATGTACACAATCACACAGAAATTTATCAACGGTTGTGTCAAACGGGTCTTGTTAACGAACTCGGCGAAGGCCATATTCATGGCCCGCTGGAACGTTGCGGGGGCGTTGCAAATTCCCTTGGGACACCGGATCCACTGCCACGTGCCCTCGAACAGGACAAAAGCGGTTTTGGGCCGGTCTTCCGGTCGGACTGCGACGTGGTGAAAACTGTGTCGGATATCGAACTTCGAA